CGCTTCAGTTCCAGCACCGCAAAGAGAGGCGGATGAATGATCCCCCCTTGAGTAAAGCAAGGGGCTCTCTGAGCCCCTCTGCTGGCCAGCCCTGGCGAAGCTGCATCGAACAGACAAGGAAGATCCCCCCACGCAGCCCTTTGACCCATGCAAAACACCCAACGATGCAAGGAAGAGGTGGGCTTTGGACCCTCCCATTCCTCGGCACTACCAAATAACAGGACTGGGACTGGGGAAGCTTCTGTTAAAGCTGAAAGAATGACAGCTCCCTCCAAGAGCTATTTAAGCACACCGAAAGCCAACCGCACCTTATTAAATGCTCTCCCACCCACCCGCTCAATGGGCGAGAATGGTCAAGGCTGTGCCTCCCGCCAGTCAGAACCTGGAAGGGGAAGGAGTATACTCGGAGGCGATGAAAGCCCGCGTGTCCGTCAAAATAGTTTTGGGTGATAAATCTGTACATGGATGATCCCCTCTGAATGCCATGCGGCAGCTGCACGGAGCGCTGACAGCCCTTATATGCTTGACAGATGGCTCGGCCATCGCTCCGGGAGAAAGCCGAGGCTGTTGTTTGCCTAGCGAATGCCGCCAACTTTATGACAAGTAGCTCGGCCCCCAAGGGGGCACGGCATACCTTTCCAGCTCATCCTTAGAGAGCAAGAGTGACATTCTCCGGTTGACTTCTATTTATAGGAAGCTCAGAAGGGCCTGCTGCCAAATCAGAGATGGGGCCCATGGTCTGCCCTAAGGGTTTTCTGGTTTCAGGCCTGGTTTTGTCACACCCGGATGTTAAGGATCAGCTTCCAAGGAGGAGCAGGAGACGGAGAAAGAACCTGAAGGACCTGATTGAAGGAATCTGGACCTAGCTTATGGACCTCCATAGTTCCTGGCTCTTCCATTGGACTCCAGCATAGTGAGACCGCTTCTGAGTCCACAGGAGCATCGCCACTGCCATGTTTGACACAAAAGGGTGGAAAGGCAGAAGAATATCAAACTGCTTTGGAATCATGGTCTGTTCACCAATTTAGGGAGAGATTATTACTCGGAAAGGACAGTCAGCTGTAATCTGGCCATCCCCATCTATCCAGAGGTTGAAATCCATCTCCCCCATCAAGCTTAATAAAAGGGGAGAACAGTTAAAGACAGTGTTTCTCAACCTTAGCCACTTTAAAATGTGTGGACTTCAACTCCCAGAAT